GGAAGGAAAAGTTAGAGTTAGCATTGAAAGGCTAAAACTGGAAAAGGAATAATTATGAAACGGAATTTTTTGCCTTTTCTATTTTTATGGTTTTTTTTTGTTTTTTCGTAGTTTTATAATTTTTTTGTTTTTTTTTCCTCATATTTTGTAAATTTTTTAAATCATTTTCTGGAATGGAGGGAAGGAGGAGACGGAGAGGAGGGCAGCCGAGAAGAGACCGAAAGATGAGATGAGATGAAATGAGTTGTTGAAGGTCACTTGGGTTTGCACGGGCCTTTCCGTCGCAGAGGTTTCTGCTTGGAAAGTGTGTCACCCTGTCCATTCCCTTTCCGCTCTTTCTCCAACTTACCTACCACCTCATTATAACGAGGAAAAAGTCTTAGAGACTTTTCAAACTCCTCATGTGCTTGTTCAAGCCTCCTTTGTGAGATTCCGTTCTCCTCCATGATGTCCTCGATAAAGGTTGGAGAGATTGCAAAAGTCTCCCCACAGAACTCTTCCAACGACATCAACTTCTCCCCTTGTATGTGGTCGCCGTCTCCGGAAGCCACATCTTTACCTACTTCTCTATGACACTCGTCTGAATGTTCACATTCCTCTCCTATTTCTCTCACGCTACTGTCCTCATTTTCACCCTCCTCCTCCTCCTCTTCTTCTTCTTCTTCTTCTTCTTCTACTTCTTCTATTGTGCTCAACTGGCCACCTCGAAACCTCTTAAATTCCCTTTCTAGCTTCTCTTGGTCTCTTCTCTCCCTCCTCCTCTGCTTCGCCTCTTCATACTCCTCACAGAGCCTTTCGAGCATTAGGAATTCTCTCAGGCTAGAGGAGCACTCGCTATCCTCATCTTCATCTTCACCTTCTCTACTCGCAATATTCTCATCTTCCATCTTCCTCTCCTCTGCTTCTACATTCCTATTCTTCTCTGCCTTCGCCTCCGCCTCTGCCTGTGCAGCCTCCTCACACAGTCTTTCAAGCATGAGAAATTCCCTTAAACTAGATGAGCACTCGCTATCTTCATATTCGTATTCATATTCATATTCATGTTCTCTACTCTCAACCTCAATCTCATCTTCTACTTTCTCCTGCACTGCCTTCTCACTCGTATTCTCCTGTTCTATGCTATTCTCCATCTGCTCCAACTCTTCATCCTCCTCACATAGGCTTTCGAGCGACGGAAATTCTCCCAAGGTGAAGGAGCATTCGCTGTGGGCGTCGGTGTCAGTGATGGTGCCTACTCTACTCTCGATCTCGTCTTCTACTTCCTTCTCTTTCGCTGAAATCTCACTCATAGTCGCTTGTTTCATTCTATTTGTCGCTGCCCCTATCTCTTCATGGCCTGTACTATTTCTAGTCTCTCCTGCTTCCACAGCTTCATCTACCCTCATAGGCGAGTCATTTCTGACGCACCTGCGTCGAGTAAAGCGGAAGAAACGATGCGTGGTCGGTAGACAGTTGCCCATTGCAAAATTTTAGCGAAAGTGAAAATTTGCAGCAGTTTTTTTTGTTTACAGAGAAAAAAATCCATGTCAATATCGATCATCAATTAGGACTATTTACTCGAGTGCGAACGTGTGCGTATGTGTGTCCGTTACGCGCGCACGCGTGCGCGTTAATTAAACTGTTCTAATAGCATATCACGGCCAATAACTGAAATAGCCAAAAATGTCATTTTATTCCTTTCATTGTTCTCCTTCGTTGTCGTTGTCGTCGTCGTTGTCGTCTTATTATTATTACTATTATTATTATTATTCTTATTATTATTTGAAAAATGACTCCTCAATGAGTATATGTTAGTTAGAAAATAGAAGTGATTGAGGATTTAGTAGGGTCTAATGAATGTCATACATTTTAGAGGTGTGGTTGAAATGAAGACTTCTCGAAGGAGTGGATGCATATGCTAGTGATGCTTTGGAAAGAGATTGGCGCTGAACTCCTCCACATCAACATTGAAGATGGCATTCTGATGGGTGATGTTTTAACCATCGTTGGCTGCCATTGGGAAAGCGGGTGTCGCCTGGTGGAATTTTCTCACTTGTCGAAAAGTACCTTGACTGGTTGACCAACCACCGATTTCCTATGTGCAGTCAGCGCAGCCCAGGCTAAGAACACCACCACGATGGGCGGCATATCCTCCAATCTGGTGATTGAGAGCTCTAAGGCAGGAGTTCTTTGACTTCACCTTGATCCAATGACCACATTCGATGAGATGCTTTCTACTCTCCATCTCTTTACTTCCCCTGACCTATACCATACCATACTGTCTCACTATTCTTTGTGTTCGAATGTTCTTCCACAGTGCAAATTCATGCTCATCTACTTACAAATGCATAGCTATTTATCAATTTTCCTGCTTTTGTTGTTTACGATTTTAACTTTTATATTTTAATTTATTATTTTTATTGTGAGCTTTGACTACTTTACCGCGTATACGTTGTTATTATTTTGTTAATTTCTTGTCTAGAACTTTACCGTCATTAATAGTTTGTCTACATAGATTAGAGTACAAATCATTATGTTGTTGACTGCAAAAGTATTATGACTTTGGGAGTCATTGGTCTCTCTAATATGAGATGTTTGGCCACTAGGGCTGCCTTAGCTTGTTACTTTGATATAGTGAGTAGTGAATAGTTTATGTCCTCAGTATCTCCACATCTAAGTTTGAGAGATAGGTGCCTACCCTATTCATGTTTTATGCGCTACAGATTTGCGGTTGCATTTTTACATGGTCTTTTATTTTTGTGTGTATTTATATCAATTTATTGTTTACTGGAAGTTCATTTAAATGAAGATGTACATTAAGAGTAGCATGATGGAAGGTAAATAAGTGAGGGTTTCGATCTAGTTCTTTAAGGTTTGAATGTTCTAGATTCTCTTATTCTCCTTTAATGGTTTTTTTGTGCTATAATTCTAACTATGGGTGAGCAAGGTTTGTTATATATGAACTTTATCTTAGTCATTCGTTGAGGTTATAAAGTTGACGAAATTTATGCCATTACTGCTAATAAATTTTTTCCTAATTGAAAGCTAACTTTCTTCCCAAGAATAAACAAGATTAAGTTAATTTGGACTGAATGTTTTCAAAATATTTGGAGATTGTTGTTAGATCGTGGTATTCAAGCGTCACATGTTGGCAGGCTTATATGTGATATGTACTTCATGCATCGAACATCGGAATCGTTAGGCAATCTTGAAATCACTAATATTCTGGAGTCTCTACTAAGATGGAAATATGCCAATTGAACGCAAATAATTTTCGTTGCAACAGAATCTCAGACATGTCAAGAAGGACGGCTTCAACTTAATGGAGTGACAAATATAATGCAATTCCATCTCCTGTTTAAGTCGTAAATGAACCCTATCGTGAAAATGGTTGATCGGGTATTGCAATTTTCACCATCTGACACTTAGAAATGACAAAGTGAAGAGCTCCAATGTGTTGGAAATTAAAATCGAATATCTAGTGTTAGGTTAAGTAAGAGCTCCTTTGCTTCTCACTTCGCTCTCCATCTTTACTTGATTATCCGAGTTTCGTACTCCTCATTTTGCCAGTATTTGTTGGCAGCTTTCTTGATATAATAGTTTTGACAATTAAAAATTAAAATCCCACTCCTTAGCCTTTGAAATAGTGCGATAATTGTACGTGACTTGTAGGCCGAAAGTTTTTTCCCATGGGTAATGAATGATTATGTTTACCATTGCGCGAAATTTCATGCATAGAGACGCAAGTCAATTACATTATAATAGATGATTAACGCATTTTTATTTTTATTCACTGGCCTTTAGTTAAATAATTGAAATACTAAATTAACATACATTAGTCGCACGAGCAATCTCTGTATGATTACTGGAAGAGGTATTGTTTTCTGAGGACGTACTTGCAAAGACCTGTCATTAGAGTTCGAAAGGTACTTAAAATACCAGTAAATTCGATATATATATACATGTGAGTGTGATTGCATTAACTATTTAGTGATAATAGAACTTTGGGAATACGCGGAAGTTAAACTTGACATGGCAGACAAGAGAATTAAGGAAATGTTAAACACCCAGAATCGTATACGTCAATTATTGTAGCACTAACACGTGATCAAAAATTGTATTCATTTACTATAATGAGGTTGGAAGAGCTATGGTTTCAGAAAATATGTCGTTTAACGAAAGTACCAATATTTTATAAGAATATGCGGAAACAGAAACACTTTATAGCCAATTCAACTGCAAACAATGGGATGATCATTATTTTCCCAAATAAAGTGGGATCATTTTTTATAATAAAATACGAAAATATATTAATTAAGACATTTTTATAGCATTTTTGTTCTTCAAAGTAAGCATGAATTTAAAGGTCGACCTTGAGTCAATGAATTGCTTTCTTGAAGTGTGAAGGTACTTCCCCATTTGGGGGCGTTGGCTACGTTATTTGCTTCTCGGAAAATTATATATTGATTGAATGCCTTACTATTTTGTTTTTATGAATTTTTAGTTTTATGCGTCTTTCCTTGTTTTAACTTGTTCTCGATGCCATTATCTCTGTTGTCACAATTTATTTATTTATTTTTCGCTTTCTGATTTACAGTACCTATGGCATCAGTGTCATCTATCTTTAACTACCGACGCTCTAATGCATTTCTATTTATCTTGGGTCTACTGTCAGGGTTTATTTTTGTCCGGGTATTGAATGGTTACAGATTTTCCCATTTTGACCCATCGAAACATTTTGAAAGCCTGGAGCTTGAATCGTCTCAGACTGGCCAAATGCATCACTACAGTAATATCTTAAACCATTTCCAAAATATCGTACTAGTAGTTTATTTTACTACTTAAACGAATGCTCTTTTCTAGCTGATACACTTCTTGCTGATGAACTGGCGAAAAGGGTGAGAGTTTACGCCTTAATTCTCACAATGCCGCCTTCAAAACTAACCAAAGCTGTTCATGTAAAAGCGACATGGGCACGTCGGTTTAATGGATACGTTTTCATAAGCTCGGAAAATGATACAAGTCTACCAACAATTAGCAAGTTTCTTCCTATTTTTAACTTATTAACTTATATTGCCAATTTTTTTATAAACCCTTCGTAACTCTCATGCATTAAAATTTTGTATACAGTAAATGAAAAATTTATACAAACCAGTTTCATTCTACTTCGAGGGTAATTTCAATCTGAGGTATACTCTGCTGTTGACTTTATTTGTGCTCTATCTAGTGCTCTTTATTAATACCTTTTAGCATCTGTCGTAGGGCTTAAAAGGAATTATGTCTTAACATCGACATGGTTCAAACTTATTCATTATAACTAGTCCATGAAGTACTATTTTCCCAGCTTAGCGGGGGGGGGGGGCGCTTTTAAGTTTTGGGAAATAATTAGTCTCCTAGTTTAGTTCTGCTTACATTTGTTGATCAGTGTTTCGCTTTACTCATTCCTGCCATTTTTTAAGGAGCAGTTGAAGTTGAGAGTCGAGGGGTTTTGTGGGAGAAGACACGGCAAGCCTTCATACACGCCAAGAAAAATCTCCTTGATAAGTACGATTTCTTTATGAAGGCCGACGATGATTCCTATGTTATTGTTGAAAATCTTCGCTTTATTCTCTCTAAAATGAACCCCAATGAACCCTTTATTATGGGACGGCGATTTAAAGTGAGTTTTTGCTAATTCTATTATTGGTGATCTCGCTTCGTGTTGATAATCAAACATTCTCAAAGTCAAATTTAATTTAAATCCCCTATGCTATTTATATATTGCACTCAGAATGCCTAGGGTCATGTTCATGTTAGTCCTCTTTTGAAATGGAATTTAGGGCTCAAAAAAGTTCCTTTAAAATCGCTACTTGTGGTCTCATTCAAGTAGCATGTATCGAAAAGTTATTGGTTCCTTAAAACCTTGAATCTTATTTAAGCTAATTTTATGATGCAATATGGCTTATTTGTCGGGGAGCACACCCGTTATAATTATCAATGTTTGATTCATCCCCAGGGTATTACCAATGCATTGCCTCTTGTCGTTTTACACCTCCTTCCGACTTTTTCGATTGGGTAATCTTTCCATTTTCTTTTTAATAATATTATTCGATGATTGGGCGGTCATCTGTGCTGGTGTTGCCCCCTTTGCCCCTATCGAAATGGAAGTACAGAATAGGGGTGAATTTCAGCAATTTTCTGTGTGCCAGTGCTGCGGCTCTATTGCGACTTCCTACTTAAAGACCTTGGAATTTATAAGTAATTTGCTATTCTCTACGTCTGTCGGAAGTCCCGTAGTACTAATTCAAGTTCTTTTCATTTAAGTTCGTTTGTCTTAAATGGCGAGAATATATTTGATAGTTTTCTTTTGCTCCTGATTTCGTCAATTTGCACCCCCCCCCCCTCTTTACGTTGCAAAAATTTGAAAATTTAAAATTGAATCAATGCGAATATACTGACACGTTTTCAGCAACTGTGATGACCAATCTGGCTAGTTGAATCAAGAAGACCGAATGACCATTTTTTTATAAATCTGACTGTTGTTCTATTCAAGGTATTCGACGAACTTACAACCTCGTGAAATTTTAGGCCTCTTCATTAAGCCAACCTATTTACTAACATAATCT